TCTCTAAACTCTTGAGTTCCTCTCTAAACTCTGAATTCATCTCTAAACTCTGAATTAATCTCTAAAATCTGAATTCATCTCTAAACTCTTGAGTTCCTCTCTCAACTCTGAGTTCCTCTCTAAACTCTGAATTCATCTCTAAACTCTTGAGTTCCTCTCTAAAACCTGAATTCATCTCTAAACTCTGAGTTCCTCTCTAAACTCTGAATTCATCTCTAAAGTTTGAATTCATCTCTAAACTCTGAATTCATCTCTAAACTCTGAGTTCCTCTCTAAACTCGGAATTCATCTTTAAAGTTTGAATTCATCTCTAAACTCTGAGTTCCTCTCTAAACTCTGAATTCATCTCTAAACTCTTGAGCTCCTCTCTAAAATCTGAATTCATCTCTAAACTCGAGTTCATCCCTAAACTCTGAATTCATCCCTAAACTCTGAGTTCCTCTCTAATTTCTGTTCCAACAGAAATTACATAATAAAATGTTCTGAATTGAACAACTGTTTCTGTCACTGTTCCTGTAAAATGGTTTCAAATTATCATTTAAAGTCGTAACAAGACTTTTTAATTTTTTTAATATCCAGAGTCTGCTCTGTGGAAGAAACAGGCCCGTTGATGCAGAACCTTTCAGGTTCCTAAAGTGATCAAAGATAATTACCAGAACCACCACGGGGTCGTTCAGAGGTCCGTCAGTGTGCAGCGTCTCCACCTCTCCTTCGATGATGTAGTTCCACTCCAACCCCAGGTCTATGAAGGTCCTGGACCTGAGCTCATCTCCTCTCCCGTTCAGGATGTAGTGTCCGGTGGCCTGGTTCTTCACCGCTGGAACCAGTCCAAAACAAACAAATCAACGGGCCTCAGCAGGTCCCTTCATGCACGCATTAAGGCTCAGCAGGGTTCTGGAAGGACTGCAGCAGAGCACGTTAACCTTCATGCATTACAAAGCGCCGTCCTTTAATAAGAACCGTTTCTCTCCTGTTGGAAATCAACAGAAATCAGCAGAAAACTAAGATTTTAAAAGTTAGTTCTAAAAAGACTTGAGGCAACGTTTCAAACGTAACAAGCGGTTTGTTTCATCACCATGAACTCAAACCTGCTGAAGATAAAGTCAGGTTTATTTTCTACAAATGTCCATGTTTCCTCTCTTCCTCGTTTCTTTTATTTTCTTATTTTATGAACGAAAAGTAAAGTTAGACATAAATCCACTTTAATAAGACAAAGTGTGAGCTGCAACAGAAATTTGTAGCTTCCTGTCAACATTTTTAGTTTTTTTTTTTAACAGCTTATAATGATGTTACCTTAATTTAATATTTGAACTTTTCTTCCCAGTTTAGTTTCTAGCTGCGGGGCTAACCTCGGTGTTCTGATTAAAATGCAATATTGGATAATTGTAAAGTGATAGCAGTCGGCATGTTTGTCAGGAGGTAAATTATTAAAGTTTCAGAATAAAATTAATCTTATATGTGAACTCTCGAATTCAGACTCATTAGTTTGCAGAGATAATTATGGGTTTAGAACTTTTCGGGTTGAAGGTGAGGTTCTGCGTCAAGTGGAGGAGTTCATGTATCTCAGGGTTTTGTTCATGAGTGAGCGTGAGATTGACAGACAGATTGGTGCAGCACCTGCAGTATTGCAGACTCTGTGCCGGTCCGTTGTGGTGAACAGGGAGCTGAGCTGTAAGGCAAAGCTCTCTGTTTACCGGTCAGTCTACATTTCTACCCTCACCTCTGGTCATGAGCTCTGGGTAGAGACTGAAAGAATGAGATTGTGGACACAGGAGGTTGAAATGAGTTTCCTCTGCAGGGTAGCTGGACTCTCCCTGAGAGACAGGGTGAGAAGTTCAGGAGAGACTCAGAGTAGAACTGCTACTCCTCCATATCGAGATGAGGTGCTTCGGGCATCTTGTAAGGATGCTTTCTGGGCGCCTCCCTAGGGAGGAGCTTCGGGTATGCCAAACTAGGAGGAGACCCCGGGGAAAACCCAGGACACACTGGAGAGACTACATCTCTGGGTTGGCCTGAGAACACCTTGGGGTCCTCCCAGAAGAGCTGGAAGAGGTGGCTGTGGACAGAGAAGTCTGGACCTCTTTGCCCAAGCTGCTGCCCCTGAGTCACGACTTCGAAATAAGTGGAAGATAAATGATGGATTGATGGATGGATGGATGGATGGTTTGTAGAGCAAATGGTCTCACCAATAAAATAATTCTGTAAAACTCTGCAGTTTCTGTTTCCAGGAAAGAACCAGAGCAGAAGTTGTGGTTGAACATCCTCAGAGTTAGTTTGAAGTCTTGACAGAAAGACTCAGAAGGATTGCTTCAAGCTGTCCTGGTTCAGGTAATGACAGACAGAGGATGCTGGCTATGAATGTGCAGCAGAAGAAACGTTCTTTTGGATTTAAAACGTTGGAATGTTGTCCGAGGACAAAGGCTCCGTCAGGACGGGTTCTTTCTGTTTGTTCTGGGACTGCTCCAGTTTCTTTTTGAACATTTGGGTTTAAAATAAAACCTATCACCTCTGAATTTCTCACCAAGCACTATCTCGGTTGCCAGAGGAGAAGAGAGAACGTGGAACCAGAGAGGACTGAAACAGGCCAAAGTCACTGTGGATGTTTGGGCTTCTGAACATGGACAGTGACGGTTCCTGGTCTAGTCCTGGTCCAGTCCTCATCTCTTCCCGTTTTCCTACCAGAGACAGACTGTCATGTAAACTTGTTAAAGTGGTCAGGTCCACAATCCTACAGACTTTCTGAAGGTTTTCAGAGCTTCTCTTTGGACTTGAGCTGATTGTTTTCTGAGTCTGGAAGAAATGATGAGTTGAACCCTAAAGTCTAACCTTACCTCTAATACAGATCTGACTCCTTGACTGGTGAATGGTTTCAGGCTCTCATCAGTTACAGAATGATTTTCATACATTTTCTTCAGCAATTTTTCACTGGCTGACAGTTTTGTTGACAGGAAGAAAAAGAAAGAAGCCAGACTCTTTAGTTCTGAAATGAGACGTTCTGACATTCAGGCTCAAATCAGCGAGTTGCAGAAATAAATGCATGAATGAAAGCTGGCGTTGCTCCAAACCCTATCCATAACAGTTCAGAAATGGTTCCTTTACAGAAATGTGAGCTCTTACTGCTCACACACACACACACCTACAGGTGCTGCCTTTTCAGCTGCACACTGATAAGAAGCCACATGAGCCCTCTCCACTTTAGCCGGCAGGACTCTGTCTGGACATTCATATGTTGTTTGGTCCAACCATGGGACAGGTTAACCCAGACCTCTGCACATTTAAGACTCGCTTAGACCTCAGGACATGCTTCCTCTGAACTTGGACCGTATTAGACTCACTCCGACTTCGGGACAGTGGTTACCCAGACCTTGGGACAGGCTTCCATGGATTCTGTCTATTTTAGACTCACTCAGACCTTGAGACAGAGGTCAGCCAGATCTTAGGACAGATTTCCTCTGGTCTCCGTCTGTTTTAGGCTCACTCAGATTTCAGGACAAATTTCCCATGGCCTCAGTCCATTTTAGACTCACTCAGACCTCAGGACAGGGGTCACCAAGAACTTAGGACAGGTTTCCCCCGGGCTCCGACCATTTTAGGTTAAGATCTCAGGACAGGCTTCTCCTGAACTCGGTCCGTATTAGACTTACTCAGACCTTGGGACAGGGGTCATCCAGACCTTTGGATGGGTTTCTCATGGCTTCTGCCTATTTTAGACTCACCCAGACCTTGAGACAAAGGTCAGCCAGATCTCGGGACAGGTTTCCTCTGGCCTCAGTCCATTTCAGACTTACTCAGGTCAGGGGTCACCAAGACCTTAGGACAGGTTTCCTCTGGCCTCAGTCCATTTCAGACTTACTCAGGTCAGGGGTCACAAAGACCTTAGGACAGGTTTCCCCTGGACTCTGCCCATTTTAGACTTACTTAGACCTCAGGACAAATGAACAAAACTTCTCTCAAACCCTCAAACTCTTTATGCTCCAAAAAGGTCCAGCTAATCTGAACCGCCGTTTGGTTCGTTAGCACTAACAATGGTCAACACCTTCCCTCCTGCAGCTTGAAGTTGCAGAGAATGACATTTCATTGGAGAGATCCCCAACACTGAGGCGCTCTTCCAGGGGCTTGTCTGTATCCCCAAACCTGTATCACACACGGGGGCAACTCCAGAGTAGTAGAAAGAGTCCTGCTCCTCTTCTGCTGTTAGGTTCAGGAGCCTAAACGATGCGTAGAGATGAGCCCAATTATATCTAGTTGGTATTGTTCAATGTTATACGCAAGCTGCTGCTCCTTACCTGCCAGAGAGGTGACATGTATCCTTAATACTTTACAGCAACAGGGTGGATGTTGTAACTGTTTGAACTAAAATAAAATAAATACAAAATGTTTTGGTATAAAAGAAGTGCCTCTTTTTATTTAAATGTACCATTTTCACCATTTGAACCACTGGAAAATACATTTTATAAAATATTTTATGAACATAAGCTGTAAATTTCCTCCACATCATGTCACGGCGTGTTTAATTTACCATCCAACGTGGAGCTGTTTGATTTTTTTGTTGACAGAAAAACGGAGATGGTACCGATGCCTGATCACGTGATGTGAAAGTGTAATTTTTGTAAATAGAAATTAAAATTTTATAATTTTCCATCTTTTTATTCAAGGATTTCTGTCATAAACTGAACATTTCTCTTACCGATCCGGTCATTCCTGCAGTATTTCTTCTATTTTTACATCGGATAGCCAAAATATTTGACATGAAACAGGTCTCACTTGTTAATGAGTCTTCGAGGATCAATGTGATTTATCTGTATAAATAAAGGCTGAATGAATGTATGTATCTAGAATTAGTTTGCGCTGCCAGGAAATGGCGCACTCAAGGCACCACCCTTACCCATGTCTGCCACTGACCTACATAGCACCCAACGTTGGAGGACATTTGAAACTCTTTCCAAGGTGGTAGGTCCACAAGGAGGCCCCTCCTTCTAGTGTATTTGGTCTTGGCCTGGCCAAGCTTCAAGGGCCAAGGCTCTTGAATATTTTAAGTATTGTGTATGTTTTTGCTTTGTTCAAAAATTTCCAAGCTTTTTTTTTTTAGATGAATAAAGATTTTCACTGTTTACACTATTAGGATGAGTTTTTGCTCAAACCTAAAGTTAAACCAATTCTTCTCATCACTTCAAAGCTTCAACTGCCTTTCTTTCATTTCTTTTGTTAGGAGTCACATAATGAATAAATGATATTGTTAAAAACAAGCATCTCTTTTATGCTTTCATTCTTCAGCCGGACAAAGATTTAATTGGATTTGTTTTTTCAAAGGAAGAAAGGACTAACATGTTGGCTTTTTCACTTTCATGTTCTGAAGCAACGTTGTGTTGCTCTTCAACATCTTCTGGTGTTTGGTTAACAGATTATAAATATCGGAATATTTCCACTCCATATTTCTGTTCATAATATCTTGATTTATTTGACTGGAATCCAGTTGCATCAATCAAGAGTAGAGCAATCTAAAGGGGAAAACTGATTTCTGCAGAACTGATGGAACCCAGTGGTATCAGTTAACTGACTGACAGAGGAATAATGTGGAACACAAAGACAAATAGGTGACAACAAATTAATGATTTTTTTAAAAAGGTGTAAATCTGTGATTTAAAAGAACATTATCCTGTTAGTGAAACCTGATGAGGATGGTGATGAAGCATCCAGAACTTACCAAGGATATGAGAGGAGGCCTCGTGTTCTTGGATCATCACATGTCTTGCTCCAGGAGGAACAAGAAACATCTTAAGGAAACCTTTGCCAAGTTTTCAGCAGCAGCAGAGGAAGCAGCAGGGAGGTTAAGATGAGAAGAGACGGAGAAGTTAGACAGACAGAAACAAACTGCTTGCAGTGGTGGACATCAGATGACTTAAAGAAGTTTCGTTTGCTTTACAAAGATGTTTGAAAGAGAAATAAAGAGTGACTTTATTTCTTGCTGTAGAAGCCTGCAGGTAAAACCAGCTCTAAAGCAGGGCTTCATTCAGATCCATGTGAGCAGGACTCTCCAGTGGTCAGGTCTTTGTGCTTGGATTCATCCTGAGCACACAGGAAGTGAATGAGAGGTGAAAATAACAGACTACAGAGAGCGCAAATGGTCCTTCTGCCACGGATGTCCACCACTTACAAACCCACCGGGACTCACCCAGAACATTTGGAGAATCTTCCGTTTCATTTAAAAAGACATTTCGAGCTCCTTTTGGTAAAGAAAATGCTCCTCGGGTCTTCCCTTAAAATCAAATCAAATAAATCCAAGTTAGTCATCATTTCACACCAGACTGATCCACAACGGCATATCTGCTCTCTCGGTGACACCGGACTGATCCACTGTGGTGTATCTGTTCACTGGATGATCAAGCTGGGCCACTGTGGTGTATCTGTTCACTGTATTACACTGGACTGATCCACTGTGGTGTATCTGTTC